GCGGGGGCCGCCGGGGGGCGGGAGGAGATCCGTGGGACCCCCTCCTCGCCGCCGCGGCAGCGCCTTGCGCTCACGCCGGCGATGTCACTAGGGGGGGCTGCGCCTGTGGAAACGCGTATATCTGAGGTGTCTGTAAACCACCCCCCGCCCCGCGCTCCGGGGAGGAAAAGGGGTCCCTCTCGGCGGGCCCCGCTCCTGGGAGCCGGGGCCGAGCCCGGCGGAGCGACCCCGCTGAGCGCCTAGAGCCAAGGGCCGAGGCTGCCCCCCCGCGCCGCCCCCGCTGCCCGGGGCCGGGCGCCTCTTGCCCTCTCCCGCAGCGCGTTTGCGCTGGACCCGCTCTAGGCCGGGCGCGGCTGCGGGCTCCGCTGCGAAAGGGACATTGCTTTATTTTTTTCTCCGTCCCTTTTCTTCTTTATTTTTCCCCACGTATTATTTTCTTGCTCTCAAATACCCAGGGATGGTTTTAGATGACAGCCCCTTTGGGTCACGCCCCATCGGCTCCTTCGGCGAGCGGAACATTAGCTAAACGAGAGGAGAGTCACAAGAGTGCCAAGTAGGGGGAAATAAACCCAATTATTCGCGTGCCTTAAAATCAGAGCTGTCGGTGATTTTTTTTTAATTCTTCTGCTTTCAAAAAATTTGAGAAATTAAAACATGACTGATTTTTTTCCAATAAAGCCATATTTCTCCACAAAGCAAAAGGATCTTTACATAACAAGTGAAACTCGGGAGAAAAGCTAATTGGATTAAGTCCTCTGAAAGAGAGGTTAAGGTGTCTGAATAAGACAACTGCAAAGCTCCACTTTTCTTGCCATCTGTTTAGCAAGGTTAGAGTGTTTTCTGATTAATATTATCTTAATCAACCACGTTGCCATTTATTATGACCGTAGTGAATTCAAAGAGCGAGGAGCACGGAGGCTCTGCCCGAGAACGGAGTATTGCAAACTCATGGCTAGAAAAAAATCTGGGAGATCGGGGAATTTTTGTTTTTCTTTAAGGGACAG